TCAGGAGGAAGAGGGGGCCAGGTGGGCACCATTAGCCTCCTTTTACAAATGGCCTCAGAGAAAGGGAAATCCGATTTTCCTAAGTAGGCACTTTGACATGGCCGGCCGCTGGGGCCATCAGCCTCCCACCTACGAAGAAATCGCTAGGGTGGAGAAGTGTTTCCACTCTTCAGACCCGAGATGAGCTGATGGAGGGTGTGAGCATCCCCCAGCTAGGCCAGAACTCACACGCGACAGCCGGGCTCAGAGACTGCAGTGTCTGCCTGCCTCTTCCATGGTCCCTGAGCACATTCAGGAAATGAGTCACGGAAGAACAAGACCTGGAGTCAGGATGAGCCTGGGGGAGGGTGTCAGGTGGAGGAACTATGCAGAATGAGTCTATGATACAAAAAGCCGCCCTTGGGTGATGGGGGGGCGAGAGTCGGAATTGATCAAACCCATCTGGCGGTGGAGCCAGTGGGGAGTGTGTGACGATCCTGAAAACGTATCTGTGAAATCGGCCTATCTGGGCTGGTCAGAGAGGCCTGAGACCTGCTTGAGGGCCTGGAGCTGGCTACGCCTGCACCCTGCCTTCGCCTCTCGCTGGGCACCGGCAGGGTGAGGCCAGCAGCGCCCAGACCAGCCAGGCCTCCCAGAGCCAGTGCACCGCTAGAGGCCCGGGCCCGGGGCAGTCCTGGGCCAGTCTGCTGGAGCAGAGAGCTGAGAGGCAGGCCTCACCTTCTCTGTGCTGCCATGGGCTTCTCATCTTGCGTTGCTCCTCGGGATTCTGGGGTGCATGCCAGGTCTCCCTAGGGAGTGGTCCTGTACCTTGCTTGTGTACCCAGCCCTCTCAGAGCCAGGGAGTGAGGCTGGACCCCAAAGGCTCATGTGCTGACTCCCAAAGGATGGGGATTTGAGGTCCCCTGGCCCTCAGCAAGCAAGTTCCTGGACCCCAGAACACCCCCTTTCCCTGGCTGCACAGGAAGGGCTGAGCTTTCTTTGTTCACACTGATGTAAAGCCTACCCCTTGCAGTTTCTGTGGAGGCCTGGGTGCCCCCTGCCTGCTCCCTGTGGGATGGGCAAACTGTAGTCCAGTGCAAAGTCTGGTTTTCCACCTCCCTAGCTCCGCCCCTTGTCAGCTTGAGCTGAAGGAAAACTAGCCCTGGACCTTGTATAAACCCTCTAAAGACCCGGATGGAGAGCATAAGACCCTTCCTCCACTCTGAAAGCCGGAGCTTCACACGGAAAGCCCCCACGGGACTCTCGCAGCTGGCCGTGTCTAGTAGGTTGCGTGGAGGGAGGGGAGAGGCAAGGGGGGGAGTTTGGGCTCAGCCCCTCTCTCTCATTGACAGATCCACATGAAGACCATGCCTGCTGCCATGTTCAGGCTCCTCACGGGCCAGGAGACCCCGCTGTACATCTAGGCCCACCCAGCCCACAGCGTCCAGCCTATCTGGGCCCCAAGGAGCGGGAGGCCACACCCAGGACCTGACCCCTGGCCCCTCAGCCCACCCAAGGAACTGGCTTCCTGAAGGGCATGGCCTCACCACCCACTTTTTCTGTTTTGGACAAAAAGGGGTATGTCTTTATCAAAGGAGAGGCGCAGGACCCAGTCTTTGTAGAGCAGTCAAGTGTATGGCCGCATCCTGAACTGTTTCCCCACTGCACCCGACGAGTGAGTGTCTGTGCCCCGTGTGGCGTGGCACGTCCTTCCTCCCCGAGGCCGTGGAGTGGACTGTGGCTGCTTCCGGACGCTCCGGGGTCCTGGGGGTGGGGGTGCCCTGGAGGCCCGACGGGCTGATCGGCTGCTGCTTCGCCCCAGGAGTGGCTGCCCAGCTCTCAGGATGGGACTTGTAACTGAAGTTTGGGAGCGGGATTGTATTTACTGAGAAAGAGGACATTCCTGAGTTAAATAAAAGATGATGGCCACAACATCGAAACTCCCTATTTATTTAGGTACTATCACTGTTTCGACTTTTGTTTTGATTAGCCATTCTTCAGACTTCTGGGTTTTCGGATGAAAACCTGCCCAGGCCTGCCGCCTGCCGTCCCCCGTCCTCCACGCCCCTCGGACTACCTGGGCCCCACAGTCCTGGCTGCCTCCCCCACCTGAGGCCTCCCCACGAGGGGGCATGCTCTCTCCCCCTCCCTCCGGGGGCCAGGAGAGCCGCTCAGGCTGTAGCCATCTAGTTAAAGTCTCTGCACACACGCACACACACGTGCTCCCCGCCCCGCAGCACACAAGGAAACTTGACCTCTGCCACGGCAGGGCCAGGCGTCGTCACCGTGAGCAGTGTTAGTTGTGTGTAGATCAAGTAAAATGTAGCCTAGTTCCGTTCCCTAGAGATCAGTGCTACCTGACGTCATTTAGTCTGGGAGTCTCTTTCTTTGGCCCAGGACTTGAAAAATACACTGTGACTTAAGAAGCCTTACCATGCAGTAACTACAGCTTTAGTATTACTGTATCCAAGCAGTGACCTGTGTGTTGCATGCAGCTGACCTTAGGAAGACTCGCTAATGTCACTAATAAACCTGAAGTCATGACGAAAAGCTCGTTTGTCGACCTGGCTGGTTTGTTGACCAAGAAGTAGGGGCCTGACTCTCCTCTGGATTCCACTTCACACCACAGCTCTTCGAGGCTGCTGTGTGGTGACCACACCCCATCCAGGTCTGGGGCCCTGGGGGCTCTCCCAGGTGAGGTCACGGGTGGGTGCTGCAGGCACCGGGTATCAGGCACACCTCGCCCTGCAGCGGAGGGTCACTGGTGGAGACGGCACCAGGCCCACTCCCACCCCCATCCCAGGGAGGAGAGGGGAGGAGGGAGAGCCCTGGGTTTAACCTCTGGGAGGCGTGCATGTGTGCTTGTGTGTGTGTGTGCATTTGTGTATGAGTAAAACAAAGCTGGGCCACCTGTCTGGGCACCGTCTCCTTACCTGCAGGGCCTTCTGCAGCCTGTCTCCCATCTCAAATAACAACAGGATTCAACAGCACTCTTATCACTTACCTTTGTCCATGGCCACCATCCTGGTGTCACCAGGCAGAGGTTGAGCATGGGCTTTGGTCAAAGGCCTGGGGCCCTTGGACAAGTAGGACCCATCTCTGGCCTGCTCACAAGCAGTCTACTCCAGGCCATGAGTGGCTGGGGAGGTGCTTCAGGCCTGGCCAGGGAGGCCCACTTGGCTGATGAGAAGGAATGCCACCTGAGTAAGCGCTGGCAGCAAGGGGCCTCAGCTTTGGAGCCCCAAGGGCTGTGTCCCTACAGTGCCCAAGACAAGGCAGATGAAACCCATGGCTGGCAGATGATGGGGGCAGGGGTCCCACCAAATGATACACATAAGCTTAAAAATCCAGATTAAAAAGGTTTGAGCTGGGGGCATGCATTCCTGCCAGATGCCTCAGACGTCACATGCAGGGAGGGCAGCCACGTGCCAGCATCGGCACCACCTGTGTACATCTGGGTGCCTGCCCTCTGCCCCTCCTGTCCTCAGGACCTGACCTTCAGAAGGGCACAGGGAAACTAGTTGGGCAGCCATGGTTGCCTCACACCCTGCCAGCCACGAGCGCGCGGCCCGAGCCTGCCCTCAGGACCCTGGTCAGGAGCGGCACACCTGGGCTTTCGGCGTCTGTCTCCGGCCCCATCAGACCCAGAAACACAGAGACCAGAAATAGTTTTTATTAAAACACTGATCATTATGAAAACACCTTGAGGTACATTAAATAAATACAACCTTCGAGTTGTACAAACAAGTCTCCTGTGGCTTGAAAACAATTTCCTACAAAGTCTGCCTGAATAGTAGCATCTCTGAATCAATACAGCTGAGGAGAAAAAAACCCCATCCATTTGAAATAAGCTTTCTGTTACAGGGTTACAAGCGTTTGACTGGTGGTGTCACCAGCTGAAGGAGACCTTAAGTCCTTGTAAGGAGGAGCGCCCCCTTTTGCCACAGAGTTGGGGTCTAGGGCTCACCCACCCCAGCAGCCTTGCAGCCCTCAGGCCAGGGTCAAATGGCAGTGTCTGGACAAGCTCCAGCCCCCTCCAGGTTGCCGGGGGAGGGCAGGTAGAGCGCCCAGGCCCTGGGCCTGTGCAGTGGGGGCCCCATGCCTTGGCTTCCCTGTGCAGGGCCTGCTGATGCCTGAGTGAGTGCAGGGAGCACAGCCCAGCTGGAGGGGGAGAGGGCAGCTCCAGGCTGCGCACAGGCCCAGTTCAGATGCCCGAAGAGCAAGAGGCTTGGAGGGAGGAGGGTGCACCCAGGAGCGGGAGGAAACCAGCTTTCCCCCTGACCACATGCCCACATGGGCTGTGTGTGGCTGGGGCTCCCGCTGCTGGGGCTCCCGACTCCCGGCCAGCACTGGGCAGAGCGGGGTGGAGCATCCTAGGGCTGGGTCAGGTCCTCAGCCCATTCCTTGGGCTCTACCTGGCCCGTCTCTTCCTGGGACCCTTCCTGGAAGCCGAGAGCCTGGGCCGTGCTAGAGCCACGTGGGCCACACCCCTGACTGTCCCGATAGCCCTGTCTGGGGGAGGCAGAAGGTTCTAACCCAGTGGTATAAAATTGGGTATAGTTTGCTTATCGGCAAGATAGAGTTACTGTGAGAGCCAGTCCAGAAGAGTGTGAGCAGGTGTGTGACGGGCAGAGCACTTGAGAACATCTGGGACTGTGGGCTTCCAGCCAGGATGCCTGCTCACAGCTAAGCGGAGCCACAGGCTGCAGGGCTTGGGGGTCCTGGGGGGCAGAAGAGACATTGTTCTGCTGCAGGGAGGAAAAGCGGAGGACGAGCATCAGGCCGGGCCTCCCGGCGGCGGCTCACCCTGGCTGCACCATGAAAATACTGACGCTGGAGCTCTACCGCAGGTTGAGGGGGGTGGGGGGCACTGGTCGCCCTGAATGGCAGCCAGGTCTGAGTGCAAAGACACAGCCCACCTGAGGGCTTGGCCCAGGGATGCTGCTGTGTGAGTCCTCAAGCCCAAGTGTGGACCCCCCGCGCCTCCCCCATTCTCCCCCACACTCCACCCCCCACCCCATGGCAAATAGGCAAAACGCTGGCAGCCTGCTGAGCCCTGGCTGCCACCCCAGAGGCACCGAAAAACACCATGACTGAGAGGCCAGGACATCAGGGCTATTAATGCTTTGCCAGCAGCTCAGGGGAGGCTACTTGAAAAAACCATCAGTTAAGTTCACCTGCAAGGGGATTTGGTTTTTAGGACTTCAGAAGTCCTCAGTTGAGAACAGAGAATAGATTTCCTGTTTTAGCATCTGGATAAAGTGCTCATAAATTCATCTCTGGGATATCTCCAGTGGAAAAGTTCTGGCTGTCATCAAAAGGCCTGACTGGTATGTTCCCAGCGCTCTCGCCTCTGGGAGGCAATGACCAGGAACATTCCTGAAGCGACATGTCTGTGGCTGACCATGCCCAGAGACTTCCCACACCCCAGCTCTCTGAGGGCTTGGCATCTGGAAACCCTCCCTGCCACCCCCTCCCTAGCTTCCAGCCTCCCAGACAGACCCCCAGCACACTGGCTACAGTCAGGGGCAGAGGGAAGGGAGGCACGGGCCCCCGACTGCTGGACACTGAGCCTTGGCAGGCACCTGTCCGCTCCCACCCCTGCACTCCCTGTGCCAGGCCTGTGGGCTCTTTGCTGAGAGCTGTGGGCCCTGCGCTGCCCCATCCAATGCAGGGGCACCAGCCACAGTTACAGGTCAGGTACTAGCTGCTGCTGTTTGGGACAGCACAGGTACAGACCTGCCATGGCTGCAGAAACTTCTTGAGTCCAGTGCTGTCCAGGGCCATGGCAGGGCAGCCATGGGGGTCACTGGGCCCCCCAGCTGCTGCAGGGGAGTCTGGCCTGCCTGCACACTCAGGGGTTGTCTTACACATGGAGAGAAATGGTTTACAGTCTGCATCCTCTCACTCACACGGCTGTGGCTGCCTGGCTGGGGATGGGCAGCTGTGGGTCATCAGACACCCTGGCAACACCACCTCTTCCCCCAGACCTCTGCCCATCAGCCTGGTGAGGGCAGATACAGGGGAAACCCCCCACAGAGGCTTACTATTATGGAACAACTCACAAGTAAAGGTGTCAAACCATTTCAGCAGTGGGGGACTGAAGACAGCCCACCAGAGAGGAATCGCCAGGAAATGCAGAAGGCAACCCACGGAGGGAGGGCAGAGAGGGGAGGCAGGGGGATTGGAGTCCCGTAAAGCCTCTTGCACAGCTGTCTGCTTCCTGGGGTGGCCAGACCACAGCAGAGACACCCCCCCCACCACCACCACCATTGTATATGTGTTTGCACAATAGCTCTGTAGCCTTGTGCATAGGAAGTTAGGCCCAGGCTGCCCTCTGTGCTAGAAGTACCAATTTTCTTTAAAGCCAGCATGTGATAAAGGGTTGGTATTGAGTGACCCAGACCACACAAGAAAACGGTCTCCTTACTTGATGTCACCCTCCATCCACTTAATCTCTCAACTAAATCGGAGGTGGGTGAGCAGCCTGCTTTTTGATGACCCTAATTCTGAAGATACACCGTGTCCTTAGTTACATGTCACCTGTCACTGTGCTCCTCTAACGCTGTGTTCAAGCTGCTACATGCCTGACAAAACCCAACAGTTCACAATGGACATGGAATCATTCTCTATCATTGGAATGGGTAGGAAGTGTCATCCCCATAAAAACAATGATTGGACCCCCCTCAAGGAGGGGACAGTGGCTCCTTGCCTGGGCCGCCCCAAGATTCTCCTGTGGCTGCAGGGTCCCCCCATGCACAGCAGCCTCCAGCAAGGACACGCTGGCACCAGGCCTGTCGTGTCCACATCTACCCCCACGGCGTGTTCACACCTGGTCCCGAAAGCCGGCGCTGAAGATGGCCTCCTCCACATGGCACTCCTCGGAGGTGACCGCCGAGCGGAGGGCGCCCACCACGTGCCGTACCTCGGGAGGGAGGGCACAGTTCGAGTGTTCCAAAAATTTAGCCACCAAAACCCTAGTGTCTGCATAGGCCTTGCTGTCCACTAAGGAATGTGGCCGCTCTTTGGAGACCATGTGCAAGGCCTCTGGCTTCAACCTCTGGTCCATTTTCCAGGCGTCTGGCTCTCCAGGGGAAGAAAGCTGGTACCGACAAGCACAAGCAGCCATGACAGAGTGAGACAGGGAAACTAAAAATCAAGGGAAAAGAAAAAAATCAGAAAATAACCCAAACAAGAGGCAGCTTTTAAACAAATTCTGTATCAAGCAAACATAAGCATGCTTGGGGCAAGCTTCCGGCTGTTATTTCTGTGCTCCTGGACTGGCACTCTGGGTGCACCCCCGGGTCCCTTTGTCCCCGACATGGCCTTGGCCCCCAGCCCTGAGTTAAGCTGGTGTGGTCCTAGAGGGGCTGCAGCCTGCTGGAGACGAGGATGGCAGGTGGAAACGGGAGGGAAAGTGCCGAGCAGGCCTGGAGAGAAGGGCAGGCAGGGCAGGGGCCAGCACGGCTCCCCCTTCTGTGGGCCTCCCTGCTAGAATTCCTGAGCTCCCAGGGGGTCTGACCTGCCCAGCTCAGTGACCTTCACTCTTATGGGTCTGTGGCACGAGAGGCGGCACTGCCTAAAGACCAGAGCTGGGGGCGGCAGAGGGCAATGAGGTCCCCTTCACCATGTCAAGGGTAGACAGCAGCTCCCTCTCACGGGGTAACAGCTTAGAGTCCTCTGTTCCCCCACCAGGCCAAGGGCTGGGGAAATGGCACTAGCTTCCAACAGGGCCCGTGGCTGCTCTGGACGACCCACAGAATGAATGCTGCTCTGATGGAGCCTCTGCAGATAGCCAGCTCCAGGCAGTCCACTGTGACCAGCTCACCAAGGACCAGGTCAAGGCCCAGCCTGACCAGTCTGTTTCAAGTGACACAAAGGAAATAGCTTCTGGGGGGTCTGGGGTGTTTTTCGTGGCAACCGAGCAAGCCTGGCAATTAAGCAGGAGAAACTGTAAAAACTCACACATGAGGCTAATCCCTCCTCTAATAGAATCTCCTAAATGCAATGACACAAGCAGTCATGTGCATGTTAAACTGTTATAGCCTCTAACATACCCTGCCAAAAGAGAAGGGCAGGGAAGGCTGCTCTTCCGAAGACCGGAGAGCTGGCGAGCCCACGACCCTGGTGACACTGGGAGGGGCTGGACTTAGACACAGGCAGCCTAGGACCACTAGCTCCCCCTTAGCCCCCATTTGACAGCAGGTGTTAAAGCATTTTAGGAACAGAGCATCTCACCAGTCCTCAGAGCAGCCCGGGGCAGTCCTGCTTCAAGGTCCCGGCTGCAGGAGGGTGTGTGTGAGGGGCTGTCACCTTCACCAGAAAGAGAATTCAGTTAACACAAGAAAGAGAAAAAGGACTCAACAACACCCTGATAATCCTCCTGTGGCTGAGACATACATGTTGGATACCAGACAAGCAAAGAAACTCCTAAGCAAACCTGTGCACAGATAAAACAGGATCACCTTCCACAGGGCAGGTGATGTACCAAGGCCCCGTTGCTTCCTCAGCCCAGCGCCGGCACAGCGCCGTGGGCCAGGTCCACAAACAAACCCACAGCCCTTCATCAGAATGCCCACCCATATCTGAGGGTCCCCAGAGGCCCGGGGAGGTCCCCGCTTTTGGAAGTGGTCAGAGCAGGAACTGGTCTCTAGCCGGGAGGAGGCTGGGCAACAGTGCAGGGTGGCAGATGCAAAGATGGCATTGTGACAACTTGCAGTCAAACCTCATCTCTTCATCTCCATCCCTAAGATGTCATGGTTTGTGGAGCAGGGATTTGACCGAGGGGGTGCAGGCCAAAGATGGCCATCAGGGGGCCACAGAGTGGGCTCTCCAAGGGCAGGGGATCCTCCCCCAAGCCTCAGTGCATGGATGTGAACATGTGTTACCCTAACAGGGCGGAGAGGGGGTCTGACCCTGGAATACACCAGCAGAGGGGCATCTCCAGAAGATTCTGCAGAGCCTTCTGAATGTAAGGGGGCAAGTGACTGTGGGGGGAGGGTAAAGAGACAGGAATGTCGGACCAGGACCTGCAGATGCAAAATATCTGAGGACATTTCCACCAGTAGGGTATTTTCCCAAAATGGACCTTTGTGGGCCCCTGGTTCCCTCCAGGGACACAGCTGTGCAGGGGCATGGATGGGATTAGTCTCTTTTGGGTTCAGACCACTGAGGTGAGCCTGGTCCACTCCCCAGTGGGCCTCTTCAGAGTTCTTCCAAGAGACTTGGACTTAGTGACAAAATCCCCAGTGCAAACGCATTGCTGCCAGGAGGCCCGCCAGTCTTTCCTGGCAAAACACTGCCATCTGCCCCCACAATAGCAACACAGGAGAAAGTGTGGGTTCTCCAACTTCAGGGAGCACAAGACACCCCAGGGAGCTGGTGTGCAATGCAAAGTCCTGGGCTGCTGGGCACAGGGGCTCTGGTGCCAGGTCCCACAGCTCAGGGAGGGCACTGCCCGCAATCCTGCCTCAAGCTTCAGGCCACACAAAGTGCTGCTGACAACATGCCTGCCTGGGGAGCTCTGGCTGGAGAACCCCCCACCTAGCCAGTGCTGTCACTGGTGCAGCCCACCTACTCTAACAGGCCCTGGCATTTACCACAGGTGCACAGCCCAGGCACATCCTGCAGGAAGGGCCCCTGAGGCTGACAGGTGTGCCTGTGGTCGCCTGCCTGACCTGAGGCCCTCCTGGCCCCCAGGGCTGGTGTGCAGCCGGCAGGCTGACCTACCCAATAGGCTCCTATCACCCCAAACTTCCCATCATCCCTCACTCCTTCCTGGCCAGAGTAGCAAGTCTGGTGGGGGCACAGCAGGGGTCCCAGACGGTCAGGGCTCTTTGGACAACATTCCCAGTGTGGCCCCTGGGTGGGGGGCTCATTGGCTGGCTGTGACTGTCAGTGGTCCCCAAGGCCTGCAGTGTCCAGGGAATAGCTGAGTGCATGCTGGGACACAGGTGATCTGGGCCAGCCGTACCTGCCAGCCCGGACGAGCATGAGGTGGGGTCGCTGGCAGAGCGGGCCACTCGCCCAGGACCTGGCCTTGTCCTCACACCCCTCTGGGGGCCCTCCGGAGATGCACGGCCCAGGCGCAGGGAAGGTTGTGGGGGTGATGAGGTGCCTGCAGGACCGCTGGATGATGGGCAGCTTAGGCCTAGGCCTGTGGTGCCCTCAGATGCTGGGAGGCTCGAGCTGTCTGCCGATGCTACAAGGCAAGGGACACAGCGTTAGCACTGGTGTCCGGCGACCACAAAGCCACCCCGTGGCAGGGACAGCACCTGCCTACCCACCTGCCAGAGCCCTCCCAGGTGTGGGCAGCCTGCCCTTCGGGCCCCAAACCTAGGCAAACCCTGTAGTGCCACAGGCGTGGGAACACTGAACAGGCTGACAAATGCTCTATGGGCTAGAAAGGCTGGGAGTGTGGGGTCACCAGATGGTCTCCCCAGATCATTCTGGAAGGGGTAAGAGGGGCAGAGCTTAGCCCTTTCACACTCCACAAGAGACTACAAGTCAGCAGCCACATGTCCCCTCCAGGGCAGCCCTGGGTGGGGGTGTTGGAGGTACAGGAAGGAGGAGGTCATGGTGCTGACGAGCAGGTCCCCTGCAGAGAAGGGAGGGGCTCTGAGGAACATCAGGCTTCCTAGCCTGGTCCCGGTGGGCCTGAGAACCTGCCCGCCCCACGCAGGGGGCCTGGGGGCCTGGACCCAGCCCCTGCGTCAGGCAGGTGGGGGGTGACTTTGCCTGAGTGATGCCTGCCTGGTTCTCTAAGCATCAGTGTCACCTGGGAATGGGTCAGAATGCAAATTATCCGCCCCTCCCCAGACGCACTGAATCAGAGACTGGGGTAGGCCGGCCACTGGGTTTAAACGCCCCTGGGGATTCTGATGTCCCCTAAGTGGCGAACGACAGCCAGACCCGTGATGCTGGGCAGGCCAGGCTCTAGCCCCTCACTGCTCTAAGGGTGGCTGGCACCCTCAGGGGCTGGGTCAGGGGACCTGCACAGACATCCCGGCTCCAGAGTGCTGTCCCCGTACTTTCCTCCTATCACCAGACAACCTCAGAGCTCCTTTCCATGAGGCTTCTCACCCCGCTGCAGCAGATTTTCAAGGTGAGTGGCCCCCAGGTTACCCCCATTCCACAGCTGAGGAAATGGGGGGGGAGAAGGGTCACAAGGCACTGGGTGGCATAGCTGGTTGGAAGCAGCCCAGTTCTGGGGCGCTCTTGCTCAACCGCACCCCTCCATCATCCAGGCTTCTCTCTCAGTAGATGCCCTGGGACAATCAGGGGTCCACCAGGGAAACAGAAAGATGAACTGGACCTTGCAAACCATATGCAAAAATAAAATCTCCAGGGCAATTAAGCCTTTTCTTTTCTAAGACAGCATAAAACATTAGTAATAGAAAATAGGTAAGAATAAACCTACAGCCTCGGGGTGAATAGACTTTATAAACATGATAGAAACCATAAAGGAAAAGCTTGATCAATTTTGACAGCAAAGTAACTTGTGAATGGCAGAGGCACCGTAACGGGGCAAGGCAAAGCGCAGCCTGGGAATACTTGCAACGCAGAGGAAAAGTGTCACTCTCACATTTTCTATACTTCCATCTAACAGATGCTTTCCTTACAAACCTACAAGAAAAATAGAAAACACTGCAAGAGAAAAAAATGGACTGATAACTAACCTTCAAGTGGCGAATACACATGTGAAAGGTGCTCAAACTCAACATTGTGTGTGTATTGTTTACCTACAAGGGTGATAAAGACCATCAGGAGTGACAGTACCTGGGGGATGCCATAAACATCCTTGGTGGTACGTAAACTATAATAACTATAATAAAAACTTCCCAGAAAGCAATGTGGCCAATATATCAGCATCTAAAATACACATTCCCTTAGACTCAGGGATCTCACTCATAGGAGTTCATTCTAAGGGAGTAATCGGGCAAGTATGCAAAGCCAAACGGATAAATGTAGAAAAGAAACAACACTTTCCTGTGTCATTAGAAAACTTCAAGCCCAGAAATCTAATTATTGACTCTATCAAAATTACACAGCCATGTATTAGAATTTGAATAATACTCATTCCTGCTGATTCCACTTGATCCTAATTTTCTCCCTCCCTCCTTGTCTCCCTCTCTCTCTTTATAGCTTTACAAAAAAGCCATACATATTTAATGTGTACAATGTGATGAGATTGGACATACACATATGCTCTTGATCCCAATTTTCTTAGTGTCCATAATAATCCGATGGCTAAATTCCTTGGGGATCGAAAGTCACACAGAGAAATGTGACTTAGCTCTGAATATATATAATAGAGATTGATAAGATTAACATAATATTACAGGAGAAGCTCATGGACCAAGACTGGTAACTCCCCTTTTTGTACACCCTCACTCTGGCTTCGGTCATGAGGCTGTTTTTAGTAGTGATAATCCTAGTGCAATTTCAGTTTTTCGCCTAACAGATCACAAGCATTTTTATTAATGTATAATAATGTATTTAGCATCTATAATGTTATCATTGACTCTTATTAATGGACTTCATTGTCCCTATAATTTTTTACTGTTATGAAAAACATACAAGTTATGCCTAGAGTTTGTTCTACTTTGTTGTCCCTCCCCTAGAACAGTTCTAAAAGTATGATCACCATGTCTAATGGCATAAAAAATGTCTACAGCTCTTTATCCAAAATGCTTTGCTAAAGGTGTTGGTTGATAGACAAGCTGCCCATCAGCTTAGGTGTAGCAGCTTCCCTGTGGCCTTGCCAGCATCCATGTCCTTATTATAATTTTGTTATTTTAATAGATAGAAAACAATACCAGAATCTAACTCTCCCCCATACAAAAGAATTCTAGAGCTAGGGAGTCCAGCTAAGTTTCAGGATACAAGATCAATACACAAGAATGAATCACATCTTTACCAGAATCAGTCACATATGTGAACAGTGAATATATAGAAATCAAAAGTGAAGACATAATACATTCACAGTTGCTCCAAAGAAAATGGAACACGTAAGTGTACACTGAACAAAACAGGCCCAGGACCTGTACACTGAAAGGGACAAAATGCTGATGAAAGAAATCAAAGGTCCAAATCAATGGAGAGATGTGTGGTGTTCATGCACCGGAAGGCTCAGCTCAGAAAAATGGCAATTCTACACAAATGACTCTGCAGGTTTAATGCAACTCCTATCAGCATCCCAGCAAGGTTTTTCTGCAGATAGAGACAAATGGATTCTAAAATTGATGTGGAAAGCCACAGGCCCTAGAGTACCTAGAACAATCATGGCAGAAGAATGAAGTGGGAAGCATCACTTGCCTATTATTAAGACTTACTACAGAGGGACAGTAATCAAGACTGGTTGTTGGTGGGGGACTGACATCCAATCAGCAGAACACAATAGAGGGTCCAGAACAGACCCATGCAGTTAGGCACAACTAATTTTTCACAGAGGTATAAACCTAACAAATGATCTGCAACAATTAGATATCTTGTAGTCCAGAAAATGACCTTGACTTCAACCTCACCTCACACAGAAATAACCTGGTGGGACATGTCTTTTCTCAAGTTAAACCTGCTTGGCCTGCTGTCCCACGAGCCAGTCAGTACTTCTCTATGCCTCTGCTAGCAGTCTCTGGGTGTTGGAAGCACCCCTGAGTCTCAAGCCTAGTTAACTGCCCAGGTCCTGAGCAGTGAGGAAGGCCTCTGTCCATGTTCACCTGCCCTGGGCTCTAGGAGCTGCCAGACACTCAGCCTTTCTAACCACGCTTTCCTCAAGAGCTTGTGATTTGCAGGAGCCACATGGCTAGAACAGGGTCGGGGATGCAAGCCCCCTCAGTTCAAACTCTAGAATGCACTGGGCCAGTGCGGGGTCCCTTCTGATGGGGGGCTGAGACACATTGCACCCTGGAGTGCCACCTCTTAGACACAGCTTTTGATGGCCCTTTGGAGCCAAGGGAAGGATAAGGTAACTTCCAAATGTCACAGCCACAGAGACCCAGGGCTCCTACAACCCAGAAGCGGCCTTGCAGAAGGAAGGCCCCTTCTTAATTCTCCTAGACATTAACTATGAGTTTGGGGCAGAGGCAGAGAGCCCTGGGCCTATCACCGTGTGCTTTCTGGGAGCCTTATTCATCTCATGAGTTCGTTGGCTTTGGTTCCTTACTAAACCTGCCGCAATGAGCCCTCTTGGGGACTTTAAGAAGATGGCTCTCCAGAAATGCCTGCCCACTTGCTCCCCCTGCTGCAAAGCTGGTCTGCTTTCCTGGCACCTAGGACCCCCTCCTGCACCCCAGCTCCGCACTGTGGCTCCCATGCCACATCTAAGATTTGACTTTTCACATTTTTCCTTCAGTGTCCTCCAGGACACAGCTTCCAGTGGCCCTCCTCCAGCCTTGCCCTCTGAAGCCAGGATCCCTCCTGGCCCTGCCCGGCCTCCTCCTGAGGGGGGAGACCGGTGGACATGAGCCTGCTGTGACTTTGCTCAGGAGAGGGTCCATCCCAGATTGAGTCACACTTTTCACTATTCAAGAAAGGGTGTTGGGAAAGCAGCAGGTCTCCCAAGTATGCTGACTTACTGGGTGCTGAGGAGGGTGGGAAGGCGGAGACGTAACACGGCGCTTAACAGGAAAGGCTGCAGCAAATTCCACCGCCTTAAACAGTAAGAGATGGAGGGCAGGGACTCGCAGGGAGGGAAGAAACAGTCTTCAGAAAATATACTTACTATTTCAAATACTGAAAGGGGTAAGATTACCTTGCGTGCTGAAGCCAGCAGTGGCATCTGGGTCCCCGGAGCTGGACTCGGTCACCTGCTGATCTACAACTGTGAGCTACAGCAAGAAAGAGAAGTCATCGAGTGGGTCATCAGTGGGCCTCAGGGGCATCTGCCGTCTGAAGGGGACATCCCCGTAGCCTCCAGAAATACAGGCTGATTCCTGAGCTCATCTTCAACAAGAAGCACTAAGGGACATGTACTTACACCCCCACTGCGCTCCTCTGAGTTTGGAGGGCAGGGGTGTGAGGATGGAGATGCCATGGCCAACGCCATAGTCCGTTTCTCTGACTTTCACAAAAGTGCCACACACTGCCCAAGACCCCACCAGCACCGGGCGCCATGCTGAGCAACTCACCTTCCAAGTGCGTACACTGTTTGGGACTGACAAAGGCCACAGGACCCTCCTGTCACCATAGGAGGTAGCACAGCCCCTGGCCTCATGCCTGACCTTTTCCCCCCAGCCCCTCTTCCCCCTTCCTGCTTCCACCCCACAGGAGACAGTCAAGAGAACTGTAATGCTTCTAATGTTCGAGCACAGTTTGAACACAGGGAAGGCATCCAATAAACAGGCTTGGCCTCCATGACCTCCCAGACTCCCCAGAGCTTGCATTTACTCTCTCCTCCCTTTTGCGTTTTGCAGACAGGGTCAAGAGGCTGCACCAAAGGCCACCCTCCCTGCCTTAAACAGTAAGAGAGGGAGGCAGGGGACTCGCAGAAAGGCAAGAGCTCAGGCACAGGTCCAGGTGCACGCAGGGCACGTGCCAGGTAGAACGTGGAACCACGTACACTGTTAGACGCCATCCCTGCCGGTTGGAGTGGGTGGTTGTGGAGCTGCTGGCAGTTCAATAGGCCTCTGGCAATGAGGGGGACAGACCAGGCCCCTGCCGGGCAGGCATGTGGCACATCTGCTCTCTGCGAGCACATCCGTTCATCACAATTTAGGGCACAAAGGCTCCAAAATGTGCCCGAATGTGGTGGGCACTGTGTACATGTGCCCCTGTGCTATCTCAGAGAATGGTTTCTGAATCCTCCTGCTGTTTCAGAATCACTTTGGGGACATGCTTAAAAGTAATGAGCTCTGGGGGAGGCCTGGGAAGGTGAGCGGGCCCCTGTGGCTTGGTCCTATTCCAGCCCAGGTAATTACATTGCTGCCTCCCGCGCCTCCCGCAGCCACTTCAATCAGAGAGCTGAGTCTTCATCTCTCCTCTTTGAATCAGGCTGGCGTGGCAGCGGGTGCTGGACCGCAGCCCTCCCACCAGCACCAGCAGGGTCCTCAGGGGGCCCGGAGGCGGGGGCCCTGCCAGCGGGAGCGCCCAGAGCTGCCCTGATGTTTCCTGTGATCCCACTTCTACAGAACACTGTACACATTATCTTCCTTCCTCGGCATTCCGGCTCTGCTGAGGAGGGAATTGGGTGCAGGAGAATCCACACTGCCATCTGCACACATCTTCTTTTTACTGTTGTCACTATATGCCAATAACCAGTGTGGGAGATCTCTGTCAAGAATCTTTGGCTAAATGACAAGAAAGAACAACGCCCTAAAGGTCTGTTTCTTTCTGCAGCTCCTCCTATATCTGACCTTCAATTGACCCTTAAAATTTTTTTTTCTTTTGCAGGGGTGGGTGGCAACTTTGAGCCCTGCTACCTGCAAAAAAAGCTTCTGGCAATAAAGAAATATAAATAAAACAAGAGGAATAAAATACACAGTGGGACAAGGTCAGAAAGAAATGGGATTCATTTCCTGTTTGGCAGAAGCATCACTGGCTTCCCTCTGCCTCCCGGATTCAGTGCGGAGAGCAGACAGCTCCTGGGATTGCATTCTTCACCTCTTGCAAACAGGATGTCAAGGGTTTAATTTGAATCTGGTCCCCCCTGATGTCCAAAGGCACCCTGCCACACCCTTCCACCTTGCAGTGGGGGAAATAGCTGCTCAGTTCACGCAGCATTTTTGATTAAATGTAAAGGCAGTGGAAAAGAGTGGAGAAGAAATGTACCTGTGACATAGAATTTAAGTTGAAATTTGATTTTAGAAATAAAGGTTCATGACATAGTTCCTGGAGGGACGCTGGCAGGAGGGAAGCCTGTGTGACTTCACGGGGGACACTCAAAGGCTTGCATTTATTTATCCTCAGGTACGCTATTTGGAGCAGCTATCAGAATTAAAAAGGCAATTGGCATTTAGGCAAGTAAGCCAGATTCCCCTCATCTCCTTTTCTTTTAGGAAGTGCTGTGGCTAAGGGTGTGCTTAGAAATCTTGCCCTATTTCTGTAATGAGTTGCCTGTTCCTGGGTTAGGTGAATCAGCTAGTATCAGATTTATAAAGAGCTGTTCTTTGGGGGCAGTTATCAACAGTCATGGAAAATGAGAATTAAGATGTTAGGGCAGTGTCCCAAGGCAATTTTGAAGATACTTCGCTTACAGGGATTAAGATGTAAAGGTCATTTTGAAAATGCAAATGACAACTCTGAGGCCTTGGGAGTGGCAGGCCCATTGCCTTTCTCACAATTTCAAGCCTCAGGTCTCAGGCTTCCCTCCTGCCCATGATACTAATCACCACCAAACGGAAATCCCTAAAGCACCACTGGATCAGGTCAACCCCAAATGCTAAACTCTGCAAAGGTACCTCTACAGTTTGACCACCAAGGTCATAAAATCTGTACCCAAACTATTTCAGGGAACCCCCTTCATGTACCCTAAGCTTCTACAACCTGGTGTCATGCTGTCCCACTGCCTGGGCTGTGCCCTCCACCTTGTGACCTTCCTTTTTTGATCACCTGCTCCAATCCCACCCCAGCGCTCACGTCTGATTCTTCCTCTGAAGCCCCAGAGAACTTTCTTTGTACCTGCCCCATCACCACATCAGACTGTCAGTTCCACAAGGAAGGGGGGGTTCTGTTCAATTTATTGTCCTAGATCCCATGGAGTGTCACACAGTCTCATGTGGTTCCCTGGAACATGAGCTTGTCATCCACACAGGAATATTAAACTGGCTACGTCTTAATAACTTTCCTGTATAGAAAAGAAATTCACTCGTTTAGATCTCTCCCAAAAGGTGCCATCTCGAGCTGTGGGAAAGAGAAGGGCATGGCAGCCTTAGCCTAAAGGACACGCACATGGCCAGTCCAGGGAGTAGATGTGCTCAGTCAAGGGGTGCTTTTCTTTCTGGATTAAAAATATCTTCTGAATAAGCAGCCGCCTCCTGCCCCTATACAAACCAGTACAGAGCACGCATTGCTTCTGACAGTCTGTCTTCCTGCTTTTACCCCAAAGAGCACTGATAGGCAATTTGTATGCCACTTGTCCTAGTGAGGGGAGGTAATTAACCTCCTCCTAGCCCAGGGAGAGGGCGCCATGCTGTAAAGGGGGGCAGCTCCTTGCTGTCTAGTCTGGCGGACAGGCTGCCCCAGGAGAGGGGGCAGCTGGTGGGCGCAGCCTTCCTCCACTGATGGGAATGGGTTTCATTGGCTTCCAGACTCTCGGCAGTGTCTGTGGAATTGAAAAGGCTGCTAGCCTGAGGGGTCCGAGAGTTTCGGCTAGTGAGGAGCAGGCTTCCCCTTGGAGCAGCCCCTTAATCACCAGATGCTGCCTCTCCCTGGTGGGACAGGTCCAGACAAAGGCCACCTCAACCTTTCTGCCATGGATGTTGTATAGGCACTTGTAAGCTGACAGTTCCAAGCTATCACAAGCTAACATGAGACAGGCCTTTGCCCGTAAGGGTTTTCTTACCAAAACTCTGTGAAAGAAATCCCCATCTAAAGAATTCCCAGAAGCTTTGGAGAAGGGTGTCATGTTGGTCCTGGAACCAGCATCATCCTCTGACCCATTCTATTCTTTAGAAAAAAGAATAATATAGTGGTAGAACCCTCATCAATTCTTTCCGGTGGGCAATGCGGTGCAGTGTGCTATGCTGATTGGGTGATTGGGTACGAGCAGCTGTCCCACCCTAATCCAGAGGCCGGAATCCTTGAATGGACACCTTGTCACCCTCAGGAATGTGGCTGGGGGGTTCTTGGTGCTAGAGTCAGGCAGCAGTGGGGTCTGAGGAGGGGAGCGTCCTAAGCCTGCCAGTGCACATGGAATCACAGACCCTCCCACGCCTTCTCTCTTCTGGAAATGGAGTGATGGCTCACGTAAGGGAGGATGGGGAGGGGGCCGAATCAGTCCTCAGCACAGCACTACATCCTTGATGGCAGCAAGCAGGGCCGCCGTGGGGAGGGGGCAGCAGATCTCTGTTGCAAAGAACATACTGCTGGGTCCCGTTGGGCACAAAGGCAGGGCGCCTTGCTTTCTCTTCCTGTCCCACAGCCACATGGCCTGCAAAACGTGACCTCCCTTGTACCTACAACTGTCTCTAGAGGCTTGAGGCTTGTAGAGGCTCGTGGAGGTTGAGTCCTGCCAGCTGCCGTGTAAACCATTTCTTTACCCATGGAGGTCCCCTAGGGCCTGGACTCTGTCCGGGTGCAGGGCTGGGGGAAGGAAGACACTGCCTCCTGACCAGGCAGGTCCTCACACTCAGAGGGGCACTGAGGATATCAGGAGGCCTGGGCCAGGCCCAAGTCCTGCACCACTTCCTGCTGGTGACTCGGCGGCGGACACCAGTCAGGAGAGCTCCCTGGCTGCTGAGAAGCCCAAAGGCATTCGGGTGTAGGTGTGCTTGGACCTGCAGGCTGGGCCCTTCAGGTGCTCCGGTCGTGTTTTGCCCACTCTCCTCTGCCTGGAGCTCAGCACCCAGAATTGGCTGCAGCTCCCCCCCATTCTTGGCTTATTTTCTCACAGCCCACATAGGCCCCTGCTCTGCCTGAGTGCTGTCTCCCCCAAAATCCCCAATCCTGTGGCCTCCCCACAGCCCGTCCTGCACTTGGGGGTCATATGACCTTTCAGTGGTCACATCTCTCTGCTCTGGCCGGTCTCTTGGAAATTCAGTAATGATGACGATGATAATGATGATGATACCAAAAAAAAAAGAGCAGCTGACTCTTAATGAATCAGAACCTACTATGCACCCAGTCCTGTGCTGGGTCCATTATAAACATCCCACTCCGACCTGTGTGCTTGGTACTGTATTGATCCTCATTTTACAGATAATGAAACTGAGGCTCCCCCAACATATCGTGAGTTTGTGCCTATTACTGTCGGTCCCCTGGAGTTCTGGGAGTGCCCAGCATGCTAGCTCAGCGAGAGCCCGCCAGACCTGGTGGCTCTGCACATCGCTGGCCTGAGCTGTCAGGACCCAGACATGACCAGGGATCCAGAAGTGCATTCTCATCTCCCCAGCAGACAGTGACAGTGGCAGGGAGCTGAAATAAGTCAGAGTCCCCTGGGTACTTGGTCCGAGGCCTGAGCTCTACCCTGGGGGGTCCTCTGCCCGTGGCTGAGAACCTGTGCCATGTCATCCTGTGCTGTGTCCCAGATGCACTGCCCACTTTAAGCTCAGATGTGTCAGAGGAGCCAGGGGGCGAAAGCACACTGGGGTGGAGTCCCCAGCGTGTACTGGGATTTCTGCAGGCTCTGCTCTCTGAGCCTGTAGTCTCCCCACCGCAGGCTTAGAGCAGCAGCCCACAGGTTGGTTGAAAGGCTTACAGACAGACAAATGCGGGTGGTGGGCCTTGGCACAGGGAACTCACCTGGGGCCTGGGCCTCACCTGGCTGGCCGCGGTCGGGCCCACCACGGCCTCATATGGCGGGGGGAGCTCGGCGGGGTAGAGCAGGCCAGGGCTGTTGATGGCAGCGTCATACAAAGTGCTGAAGGAGGAGGGTGCAAAGTCCAGATGAAGAGACCTGGGGAGGCAAAACCATCGCTGTCGCTCTGGGGAAGGAACCCAGACTGTCACCATTTCTCTCCAAGCAATCAGCAAGTCACGTGTCAGGGTTTGTGCTCATTCAATACTCCCAGTGTTTGTGCAATAAAAGCCTAATTCACTAAGGCAGCCTTAACTTTTGCTTTTTTCGGGAACAATCATCAACATTTTCAATAAACTCTATGGCCTTGTCCATTAAAATTAAAATACTCGTACAGCTGACTAAATCTTTAATTAAATTTTATGTGTTGTGTCAATGACCATAACTCGAGAGCGGTTTTGCTTTCTGTGAGAGCATAACAGAGCTGCTCTCATCTGGCCAGGTTTTCTCTGCTTTGCAATGGTGCCAGTCAACAGGCTCTAGCTCTGAGCCATTTCATGGCTGTTCTCTGCTGGCTCAACAAACACGCTTTCATACGCTTGCTCTCCTTCGCTCAACAGCTGCACTGAAAATGAGTGTGACCATTGCAACCCGCACCTCTCAAAGACTGCTTCCTATCTTCCTGGCCTCAGTACCAGCGACGGAGGCATCGATAAAAAGACCCACCTGTGGGCCTCGGCAGTGGGCGTACAGGTGTACTCGGGAGGGTAATAGGGTGGAGGTGGCAGAGGGGGCACGAACTCCTCGAAATCCAGGGTCTGGTGGAGAATGGTGCCATGAGGGGTCACACAGGCGGGGCTGGCAGAATGGGCCCTTTGCGGAAGGAACTGGAAAACAGAAAGATTCAGAGTTACTTGGGATTTCTTGTGTGGCTTGTGTCTAATTAAACTAATTACCCACAAGCTTTAATGATCCGTTTGGAACTTATGTAATTTAAACTGTCAAGCCGTGACGGCTAAACACACATTTTAAAACGATGGCTCTGTGAGGACCGTCTCGCCTCCAAAGCCCCATTATGCTTTGTTTCCCACGCTGTTATGCAGAATGCGTCTTATCTGAGGAAAAACAGTCCGGGAAGTCTTGAATTCTGTCCTACTAAACTTGTCTCTTCTACTAAACTACTCAAAGCCAACGGTCAAAAGGGTGCCTAAAGTCCACAGTTTAAGGCAACACTTCTCAAAGTACGTTCAAGAGAAAACACCAGACCCTCAAAATGTTTGTCTCCATGCCCCTGCCCCCCGTTCCCCCAACCCCACCCCCTCCCCCAACAAATTCCTACAGCGAAATAAATTTGGGAATGCTACATATTGTCCTCTCTTCTTGGAGCCCTGTGATATACATTAGTGTGTCAAAGGCCCTGGGAAAGCCTTCGCCAAAAATCCGCTGAACTGTTTTACCCATTCATGGACCATTTCTCAAATACTTCATTATGGGTTCCCTTGGATGCATAGTATCTTACTAATATTATTCAGTTCCAAGGAATTCATGAGCTTTGTCAAATACTGCTTTGGGAGGAAAGAATCCTTCATGAGCTCCAGTACATTCCATGGGTCAGGCTTAAAACTGCGATGCTTCCTGAGAAAACTGATGTTCCAAGGAATTCATGAGCTTTGTCAAATACTGCTTTGGGAGGAAAGAATCCTTCATGAGCTCCAGTACATTCCATGGGTCAGGCTTAAAACTGCGATGCTTCCTGAGAAAACTGAAGTCAAGTCACTTAAACAGAATGTGTCTGCCTGGTTTTCCATTTCTTCTCATGGAAGCACTGATGAATAACTGCTTCTCTTTCCACCCTCCAGTCCCTGTTTCCAAGATGCTACCTGTGGTGTGGGCATATCTGAGATACCGCTCCTGTTCCAATCAACATCCCAGTGTAGGTGCCAACAGCTACAGAAAGACCTTGTGCTATGTGAACTCTGTGTCCTTGGACCTTCCACTGTGTGGGGGGTGAGGGGAGGGTGAGACAAGGACCCAGAGTCAACTGTATATGGCCAGGCAAGGGCAGGTCTATTAGGAAATGATGAACTCTCTGAGCATTGTGTGAGAACCTGGGGTCTACAAAAAAGATGACATTTGAATGGGCCTGAAAGATTGGTAGGATTTCAGTGGGTGGGCCTACAGGAAGGTGCTCCGGCTCAGGCTAGCTAGTGAAATATGTGTTTAAGAAAAGCAAATTTAATTAAGGCTCTTGAAGTTAATTCTTGATTCTGGGAGCACTAGGGACCGAACAATAGCGCTAGAGCAGGGGAGCAGCCCTGTCAAAGCCAGGAGCAGGAAGCGCCTTCTGGCAGCAGTGGGCACGATGGTCTGGACTTGACAAGAGGTTGGGATGGTATTTTTGTGCAAGAATGGGTGAGGTCAGAATTCTGAATATGGTCAAATGCTATGTAATGAGTATGCTCTTGACTAAGGCAGAAAGAATGGTGGCCGTGTCTACACATGTAGCCCATCACACTGAAATGCTGTGAATCTTCTTAACACACACAGCACGTTCCCTGCCTTTCTGGCTGGTCTGAGCCAAGGTTTTGTTTATTTAATTGTCTGAAGTGCAGGTGAATCAATGGCTCTGCGCAGGTTGGCCGCGGAGCACTGTTGGCCTTGACGCTACGGCGCAAAGCTGAGCAGCAGGGACAAGGCCAGATGCCCTTGAGGTCTAATAGGGCAATATTTTGAATTAGTTCCTATCAAAAATTAGAAAAATCAATAACATACTCAAGCATAAAATGCAACAGCTAAAATGCTTTCCTATTAAAAGTACAATTCCACCAGGAATGAGAACAAGAAGCATTTTCATGAGAGAGGTGAGAAGCTTGCAATGATCCTATTAGCAAGTTTAAAGGAGTAGATGCTGCCACACACCAGAGGCTTTTTAAAGGTTAACTGACAGGCTCCCTTCTGCACTAAACTCCAGATTGCCTCTCCAGTGGTGTGCTGGCCCCATCGCTGTGCAAGCATCTCAGACTCAGCTCATTTCAAACTGAGTTTTTTACCTTGGCTTCTCAGTCTCCCCAGTGGGAAGCCTACAAGGGATGCTTGATGTATTCCCCCCACCAGTCTCTAATGAGGCAGGGTCTGTCTCCAAGCTCAAGGTCACCAGCTCTGTACTCTGCTCTGAGATGGTAGGGCTGCACATCTGCAAAACCATTTTCCCAGACTCCCGTGCCTGCTGGCTTGCTGTTAGGTTCTGTCAACAGGGGGCACTAGAGGGAGTCTGGAAGGAGAAGCAACTTACTGTTATACTGCTCTTTCCCTTCTGTTCTCCCAGCCCTGGGCGGGTAACCTCAGCATTGCTCCTTCAGCCTCTGCACCTGGGTAACCAGTTCCCAGTATTAACTGTTGAAATCCCAAGGGCGAGTTCTTTTCCTGCCTGGTCCCTGACCATCCAGGCCAGTCTGTGTCTTACCCACCTGTGCATTCCCTGGGCTGGGTCTGGTCCTGAGGGCACAGCAAGGTTCACACAGCAAGGGTTCAACAGTTGTTCGCTCAGTAGGTGACCCTCCTGGCTGAGACACCCCCAAAAAGCCTGTGCTCCTCTCTTCCTCACTGGAGAATCTAACCTGTCTCTCTGCCTTGATTTCCCCCTCTTGAATTCACTCTTCTTTCTGCTAGCAGAGCTATGTGTAAGCCAATCCAACAAAGGCACTCCCATTAAAAACTCTTCTAGGAGAGCTCTGCTCTCTGAATACCATCTTGATTCTGGCTTCCTCACCCATGAACCAACTGGTGCCAAAATACTCCTCTCTGTTCTCCAAACCACCCCCAACCACCAAGCACAGTTTGTCTCCTTCCCAGATCCCCACCTCCCTCTCACCAGGCAGCCTGCCAGTCATCCTTCAGGATGTAGCAGAAATGCCTACTGGCCAGCTGCCAGCCTCCCCGTGCCCTAGCATGCACACTCTTCATGTCTACACAGCCAGGAGTAAAGCTGGAGCCTGCATTTGGGTGCTGTGGGTAGGAAATTGGCTCTGAATATTATGTCTTTCCCAGGAAATTCTTGCCTTGGGCCATTTGTAAAGGCCTCATTTGTTCCCTGTGACAACCAAGTACATCCTGAGCCGCTGGTTCAAGGCTGAGGTGTTCACACACCTGACGTGAGCATCATTACTGCCCAGCCCCCATCATCCACAAAAGAGGAGTGTGCATCACGGACCCGCTGGAGAGCAGCCCCTCGCATGCCTTACCTGGTAGAGGGAATCCCCAGGGCATGTGTGTCCTTCCAGGTGCTTCTGAACCAGGGTTGGGGGTTGGGGGTGCTTGTAAGAACTGGGGCTACCTGGCCTAGGGCAGTTTCTCAGTGCCCATTTGGTTCCATCAGCACAGCCGGAGTCTGAGGTCTGAGAGAGGGTGTGAAGATGTCAGCAGGCCCCGGGCCTGGTTGCAAGGCCCTGCCTGACCCCTGAGGGTCCACAAGACTATGAGCACATTACTGACCCCTCTAAATAAGTCTCAGTCCCCTTCCCTGACCCCACCCAGGCCTGACAGGGTCGCGCTGAGTAACATTCTCAGTCGCAGAGCCAGACTGCCTGGTGGCAGTGTTGTGTAGCTTCAACAAAGGACCCTATCATATATATTAGCTCCTGTACCCCTTGCCTCTGTCTCCCACCACAGTGGAGGTAAGGGGTGGAGTGCAGGGCAGGTCAGTGGTCTGGAGACAAGGGGCTGGAATTTCCAGGAACACCTATGAGTTCTGAGGAGCCTCTTCTCATCCAGGCCCCAAGACGGGCCTGCTTGCTTCCTTTTACACCCTGCCCCAGGCCCTTGACCCGCAGCTGCCCTCTGCTTCACTGCCATCAGAGCAAACTCTCCAGCTTTCCTGCCGTGTCCTGGCTCCTGAGTGGATCACACAAACCCTGGAGATTTTCCATAAGGACTAAGGAATACAGGGGAGAGGCCTCCTTCCTCCACCCCTCCAGGGACTTGGTAGAAATAGGATTTTTACTAGCCCACTGGATGAGTTGGGCTTTCCCGCTGTGTTCTGGACCCTGGAGTGACACCTGCCATGCCAGAGGCCCCCTGCTGCTCTCTGCTCCTGCCACCCCCGCCCAGGGGAGTGCCATGCCTCCCGAGGGCCGCTGGGGTGCATTCTCAGACAGCTTAAGGCTGGTTTTAGTTACTATTAGAACTCGTAATGAAATACAAAGGCAGACAGGAAAACTTGTTTGTTCTATGAAGTTTTGAACAAACTGAAGGCTTTGTTTAGACATAATAAGGGAGAGCAGCTAAGCAGAAACTTCTGCCAACTTAGATCCTGGCAAGGCAGCTGTAAGAGTGAAGAAGAATCAGAAAACATTAAGGGCAGTTCTGTACTCAGAACACATCACAAGTCTCACTCCAATATAAAGGAACTGATCCTGGAAGTTATGGATGGTGTGATTTCCATGACATTTATACAAGAAATACGATGTTTATACAAGAAATATGACGTTTTACATCAAATATGTAGACCCATAATCAAAGAGAAGATCATGGCCCCAAGTCATAAGACTGGTGGACAAAGGCGCATTTGCATATTTAAAGTCAAAATAAAATGTTTATGGTACGGCCATACCACTTTCATGATCTGCTGCTGTAACTAGCTTGTTAAATTAATCAGACACCCATCAGTCCTAGTTTGATAGTTAAGTAGCACCTACCAGCCAGAGATGTTCCTGTTGAACCCAGACCTAAAGAAGGTCATGGTTTGTCCAAGGGGGGCCAGCCTCAGTGGGGAGCTAGACTGCAACTGGGTGAACAGGAGACGTGAAGATAATAGTGAACTCGAGTGATTTCGGGGCTCCTGGGGGCAATGTTACATCCCTCCCTGACTGGCCCATACCTCTTAAAAGGC